CCCCCCGTGGTTACGCCCCCTCCCATAGCTACGAGCGCAGAGCGGGGTCAGGCGATGAAAGAAAGCGGCTGAATGGTCCGGCCAGCAAGTAGCTCCCGGCGCACTTTCAGCTTTGGGCTGAACAGATCTAAAACTGAAGAAAGCCAAGCCGCTTTCCTTCTCGCATGCTGGCATACACTTGCCCCATCGGGTTCCTCACATGGTTCGCTCATTTCAACTACTGTTTAGAAAGCATTTTACCGACAAGAAAACGTCAACGACCACTTTTTTTTCTGAACGATAACTTTTTTTTCTGTCCGAGGTTTTGTATGATAAATATTTCCAAGTTTATTTTTGTTTGCCATTTTTTAATTAGAGAACGAAATATGGTTCTTTACTGTTTCAGCAACCGCATCAAATACCAAAACTGACTGGCTTCTGCGAATAACTACTTTTGACGAATTTTACGACTTATCACGCGTGCTGACTAAATATTGCCGAAATTCACACCAAGCGAAATTTCAGAAATTTCGTGACCGCAGTAATAAAAGTCGTCTAGAGTACAACAAACGTTGAGGTCTCTGAGCCTTTATTTTGTGTTCTCCAAAAAGAATGTGAGACGACAGCCTAAAAGAATACACATGTCGGAGGAGGAGATTGCGGCGGGGCATAAGCTTAGCGTTTCCGGCTCAGGCTGGCACGACAATGTTCGACCCCCTTCTAAAAGAGGCGAACACTGAAAATGAAGATGATTCATTAAGTGCCTTGACCATGAAAGCTCTGCTGTACCTCTCCGAGACATCTCGGTATCCTCACACAAGCCTTTAACATGCGGAAAAACGGCTTACAATGACGTGATGCGAGTCGTCGTCATTTGTTAATGACGTATATCTGCGCTCTTGAACATACACCAGCCGCCAAAACTTAACTTGACGCATAATGAAGAAAAAATAATATTACAAGCTTAGCAACTTAACGCCGCAGGCATTAAAAAAATAAAGACAAGGAAATCTTTGCTGACTTTTGAGCTGACAGTGCTGTGGGAGTTACGCGCCGCTGGACCAATCCACTGCCTCCCTTGCATCACCTGACCACGCTCTTTGCACGTCTGTATGGACGGAAGCGTAATCACGTGGCTAAAAATAGACATAGCACTGCTCCGACAAGCACGTAGCTCCCACACAGCTTTGGAACGAAAGGAGTACGCTCCTTCCCGAAAAAAAACTCGTGAGGCCGTCACAGAATAGCTTGAAGAGCGATCCATGAATCCGTGTCAAACAATAGCGGCAGCCCCTTTCGGCGCTCATATTCTGCCAGTGTGACTAATCCCAAATGCAACAACAAATGCCACAAACACAGCAACATGATGCAGCACTTCCAGCAAAAAATCCTTCAGAAGCTCGTATCAGCACCTGCGACGAGCCAGGCCATGCTGTTATGTTGTTGTTTTGTTGGCCTCACCTATCGACGCTAGCGAGGGCGTCGCCGTCAACCTGCTGCGTCAGCGACGCATAGTGCCGTGTTGGAACCGATAAAAGCGGCTGCGCCTAGCAGCGCGGGGCTCTTCTTCGTCCTGCTGGCGAGATGCAATCAACGCAGTCAGACCAACTACAGTCTCGGTGCCCGGAAACGTGCCTGAACATGTCTGCTGACCACAATCGGACAGGCTCGCTGCGAATCCTACAATGGAAGTGCAGCCAACTCCCACGACGCAAGGCCCAACTGCTTGTGCACATCAACGATTACAAGTTTGATCTACGCAGACGACACGAGCATGCTGTTTAAGGGAGGAAGCCCCACAGAACTCATTGAAAATGCCCACGTCATGCCAGGAAAGCTAAATACATGGTCTGGAGTATGACGAGGGTCATTTTCGGAGTCACGTCCAGCCCCTTTCTGTTGGCCGCGACCCTACGACATCATTTCAGAGAAATGGAGAGCCTATTCATCAAGACAGCAGAGCGACTGGGTAGTTCGGTCTATGTTGACGACCTGTTGACAGGTGCGGAAAGTGAAGAGGACGCCCGGACATTCTGCAACGAGGCGATCGAGATATTTGGAGCAGCGGGGATGAAGCTTTACAAGTGGGGCTCCAATAGCGCAGCCCTGTCGAAAATGCTTGAAGACAAGGGTCCCGATGAGAGACCATTGGGACAACAGACGGGTGTGTTGAAGGTGCTCGGTCTGACGTGGAAGCCAAATGAAGACAGCCTTTCGTTTGCGGCAGACCACGTGATTAAGTTTGCCCGCCAACAAAGAAACACCAACCGTTTCGTGCTCCAGACGACAGCACGACTGTATGACCCCCTTGGTTTCCTCTCCCCCTTCGTGGTGCGAGCCAAGATCCTGTTTCAGGAAATCTGGAAGCTGAAGTTGCGCTGGGACGATACACTGCCGGAAGAACTGATGAGTGGCTGGAACAACTGGAACAACAACTCACCACACTTCAGCAAATTAACGTGCCCAGATTCTATGACAGCGAGCTGAAGGGCAACGTTGTACATCGAACGTTGCACGTATTCTCTGATGCCAGCACCTCCGCATATGAATCTATGATCTTCATCTGCTCAACGGATGACACCGGAAAAACGACCGCGACACTCTTATGGCTAAGTGCTGCGTGTCGCCCCTAAAGGAAATCTGCCTTGCAAGATTAGAGCTCATGGCGTGCTTGATTGGATCGAGGCTGTTTAAGTACGTAAGGACACACCTCGAAATCAAAGTGGATGAAGTCCGCTTCTGGACGGATTCCACGATCGCTCTGCATTGGATTAGGGGAGAGCCATCCAGGTGGAAGACGTTCGTGAAAAATAGAGTGCAAGAAATTCAAGGAAACAGTGAGAAGGCAATGTGGCACCACCGCCCGGGGAAGGAAAATCCTGCCGACCTGATGACACGAGGGCTGTCCGCAGATCGACTGCTGTCTGCACCGCTCTGGTGGAACGGACCAACTTGGTTGCTACTGCCCGCGACAGAGTGGCCTGGGGAAAGTGACGAGGAGCTTTCCCACGACGGGCTCGAGGAGAGGACTCCAAGAGCAAAGCTCTTCGAGGTAACTGCAACTGTACCGGAAGAGTTGCTCGACATCTCAAGATTCAACTCGGCCTTGAAACTCCACAGAACAACGGCCTGGATTTTACGGTTCATCCATAACCTCAGATCATCAGAAAAAAGGATGGGACCAGTGACAGCCGAGGAGATCCACGTAGCGCAAACACACTGGATAACGAGAGCACAAAGATCAGCGTTTGCCTCCGATATTGATTGTACAGCAAAGAGAATGTCGCCCCCACCTGGGACGCTCTTGCGTGACTTTCGCACTTTCATAGATGAAGAGGGATTGCTGAGGATCAGCGGTCGACTCCAGTCATCCAACCTGACGCAGGAAGAACACCACCCCATTGTGCTGCCTAAGGAGCATCGATACTCAACCTTGCTGACTGTCGACGCCCATCGCCAGGTACTGCACGCGGGAGCCAGGGACACTCTCGTGCAGGTGCGCGAGAAGTACTGGATCCTCCGCAGAAGACAGCTGGTAAAGAAAGTTGTGTGTGCGTGTGTGACCTGCCAGCGATTCAACGCGACTCCTGCAAGTGCTCCAACGGGACCCTTGCCGGCGAATCGTACAACGCGAGCGGACCCGTTTGAAGTAGTGGGCACAGACTTTGCAGGGCCCCTGTTTGTTAAGGCGAACAACCTCACCAGCAAATGTTACGTGCTGTTGTTTACATGCGCGGTCACCCGAGCGGTCCATTTAGAGTTAGTGACATACATGTCGACAAAGAGCTTTCTGTATGCCTTTCGCAGATTTGTGTCGCGGAGAGGGGTATGCCGCGTCATTTATTCGGATGACGCTTTGACATTTAAGCGGGCCTCAAAAGAGCTAAGTGAACTGTGGAAGACACTCTGACACCCTGATGTGATTCAGCATTTTGCCAATGATGGCATAGAGTGGCGATTTGTTGTCGAACGAGCGCCATGGTGGGGAGGTTCTTATAAGAGGCTCGTGCGCTCAGTAAAGGTGTCATTGAGGAAAGTGATCGGAAAGAAATGCCTGGGCGTGGAGGAATCGGCCACGGTTCTCACTGAAATTGAAGCCGTGGCGAATTCGAGACCATTGACCTGACCTTTGTGTACAACGAGGTGGGAGAGGGCGACCCTCTCACGCCGGCGAGCTTTCTAATAGGCAGACGGCTGACGGCGCTGCCGGTGCCCGGAGGATAAAGTCCTTCTATACCGGAGGAGAGCCGCTCGCTTCGACACCGGAAACACTTCGCAGTCTGTGGCGAAAGCGAAAACGGATCCTAAATTTATTTTGGGGGACGTGGGGGGCGGAATACCTCCGAGAACTGAGGTCTGCTTATACTAGTCACCAAAAGCAGTCCCCTCCGCCCCGAGTGGGCCAGTTGGTCCTTTTAAAAGAGCCACTTCCACGACTGCTTTGGAAGCTTGGAAAGGTTGAGAAGGTAATTTATGGACGCGATGCAAGGGTTCGTTCATGCGAGACTTGCATACATCGCGGTACCGTATTGCGAAGGCCAGTGCAACCAATCTACTCCCTAGAAATGACGGAACTCTAGAATGTGCTTGCGCCCATTCAGTGGGGAGTGTGTTGGAACTTTCGCGAGGACGGCATCGGATTCCCTCTGCGGAGAGGATGCGCGCGAGGGGCGAGCTGAACCCTCACACCACGGCTTGTCTCGGCGAAAACGATTTACGATCGCGCGCGGGGGGCGAGACGTAAACTTCGTACCCGCAGCGGCCGGATGCAGCCGCGAAGATCAACAGCTGGGAAAGTGGAACGAAAGCTGGAACGCTACCAATCGGAGAACGAGAAAGTGGCTAGTCTGTTTGGAACGTCTGTGTAGTTTAAAATATAAGTGTTGGGGTTTGTTGACACTGATCGATATCTCGGAATCACGGTGTACTCGGAACGCCAAGAAGCAACAATTTCCTCAACAAGTATCTCCTGGCCTTTGCATGGCACAGTCCGAGCTCCTGTGGCAGTAACACACCGAGAATTTTCATATGACAACATCCTTTATTCAGAATAAACATTGCCGCTCCAGCATCGACGGTGCTATGTACAGCTTGATTAAGGTCGCTGCCACGCTTGAAACGAAGCTCAGACGGAGCATAGTCTTTGCACATCAGTCTTTCACTTTATATATGCGCAATATCAGCATGCAGTGCGTGCTTGGAATAATCAATCATGTTTCTCTCGCATCTGTTGATTTATTACCTCCTTATTAGATAGAAGGGCAAGCACGCAATATCCATTACCAAATATGGTTTGACAAGTAGAACAATCTGTTGCAAGCTCTCACCCGAAGTGAGAATGTTTATGGAGCAGGCAGAATTTAGCTGCAAAGCCCATCGCAATCGAAAGCTGTAGCTACAAAGCTCGAAAGCTGGCAAACAAAGATAATTAACTCATGAAAAAACACATTCTAAAAAAAAAATACTGTAGGTCGCTAGTTTTATGGAAAATAAGAGAAGCATCTGTCTACTCATGTCAAGTAAGTTGTAATTATGAAAATGGGACTCGCAGTAAATGCAGTGCACATCAAACGAATGCTTGAGCTTAAAGCAAAGGAGTAAAAGCTATGTACAATGCAGCAAAAGGAACACCAATGCTTGTAAAATAGCATTATATCCTATAAACAAGTATGACATTCTTTGCAGACTAGAAATGAAGTATTAGATGGTTGTAACCAGATTATGCTCAAAGGGCACCGAAGAGAATGATCAGCATTGTTGGTCAAACCTCCGCTGTTTGTCTAAGAATAAAACTAAGCTCAAAACGATGTCCCTTCGAAAAATATTTAAATAGCTGCAAACATAAAAAAAATTAGCAGAACCACATTCGCTTAACTGAAACACCTGACTTCACAAAAGGAAAGCTGCACACAATGCGTAAAGTTGGTCCAAAGTTGCCGTCAAATCTTGACAGTGCACTCCATTGAAGTAGAGCTGTACATTGATTTTTTGACACGCACTACACCAAGCCTCAAATCAAAATTAACAGAAAATATGGCATATGAACACAAATTAATTTAACCGCTGGAAAACAAAAATTAAGTTAACATTCTTGCACCCACAAGGCCAACAAGTGACCATATTAAACAAACTTATCAAATTTCATCCATTCCAAATAAATAGCTTAACCAAAAGAAACAATACAATAGTAAAACTGGAAGTTCAAAACAAACTTAGTACAAAGAACCAGTACATATTGTATAAAGATAATAATCGAAACAATCAAGATGAATGCAACGTGCTCACTAGCGGAACAACAAAGCTACCTAAAGACAAATTCTTTGGCAGTGCCGGGATTCAAAATCCGGGTAATAGAAGTCGCATACCACAGGGCGTCTGCTTTTAATCCAAACATTAACAAAGAAAAGAAGATATTCACCATTACCTAAATGCTGCATTTCTTCACCACGACCTCAAATAGCTGGGAAGAAATTCTATGGTAAGACAAGCATCATAAGTAAGTCTAATTTCCTCCTTTTTTTTAATACGAGGTTTTAGGGGTTGTTTTACAAGTGCAGCTTTGTTCAAGGCAGTGCTCTAAAAATAAATGAATACTTTACCGATTAATTGAATAGTAATGCATTAATTGCTGAACAAGTTTTTGTCCAATTATTGGTCGAATGTACCCTTTCGTCATGGGAATTGTCTTTGCCCTGTCAAACTGACTATCAAGACTAATTAAAGATGAGTCTCCAGTTCATTAAAGAGTTTAGAGACACATTTGAATCATTAGCCAACTGATCAATATAGCTATCACACTATTAAATAGCTGCCAGGCCAAGCAAGTTTGTAGCAAAGATGGCATTCATATAATGGTTGGCCCACTTCTTTTAATGAGTCTACATTAATTAAAACAAACCATCCTCGGTATAGTCATCGATAAAAAAAACCAAATAGGGAGAAGTGTTAGAATCAATTCTTCACAAGAACGGTCTAACTTATGGAGCACACGAGGTATTAATCGGAAATAGATTTGCACACTCTCGCAGCGAGTTTATTTTTCACGATACTGCTGCTGGTAAGACTGGCCTAGGACTTTCAACAGGCCGTCTGAAGTTCATAGAAATGGGCGGGGCTCCGTATCCCCAACAGAAATAAAACGTGGAAACCCTCTCGAGGAATACTGTTGCCAGGAGGAAAACTGTGTTCCTGCCCTATGGTACAACTTGCAGTTGGCCGATCACACATTGGCAGTGCCAGAACTACAAATACAAAATCATCATTGTTCCCCTTCTCCAGGGATTATTTTCATCATTCTTGTCCAGCTCGCTTGCACCTTTGCATTTAATTGCATTATAATCACAACAGAAGCCACAGTCTTTGTAAACCATAAATTTTAACCAACCAAAATAAAAAAAAACAAAAAAACAATGTTTTGGTGATTTATTCGGAAACGATTAGGGGTCTGTGTTTGCAGGGTTCATTTTCTTTGAATTCGGGGGCATTTTCAGGGGTTATTTTCGACCCGTTCGGTGTTTTTCAGTGTCATTCTTCGGTGTGGGACAAAAAATCCACATTTACCGGGGCTTATGCTGACCAAGGACAGCCCGAATTCTGGGTTTTTTGGTTTTTTCCGAGTTTGATGAATCTGACTCAGCGATGAACTTTTGGGGCCTACTGGTATTTACCCAAAACACAGCACCCTAGATATGACTAATGAGTGAGTGACAATCACAAATTATAGCGCATTCATGATTGTGGTGAATACCCTGCAAATGACGCTCTTTCAAGGAACCTAAATCCATACCTTGAGATAAAAAGCTGCTTACAATTTGCTGCTAAAGCAACGATAAAACACAAAAAAACCATAGAAGTTCAGAGTCAGTTGCGAAAGATGCTTCAAATACTACCGCAGAAATATTCTTACTTAAAATATATTATACTTTCAAAGCCAAGCCTGAGCATTCCCATGCAATTGCAACAGGAATAACTTTGGTAATGCTTTGTCCATGGTAAAACAAGCAAGAATGTTTATAATGTTGTTTCCGAACGTGCATCAGATAACAAAGCTACTGGGATGCTTTTCCTTGCTCGGGCAATCTGTTTTCTGGGTACGCTCCATTGCCACAAGTTGTCCTCAGAGACTAACAGTGGAAAGCCTAAGGGTGAAGGTTGCTTGAGAGCTAAAATCTCAAAAGGAGATCGCACACTGCGTCAATCAATTAATCTATCAATCGTGCAGCTCCCTCCAAGGGCGCAGTCACCCTGCTCGAGGAAAGCCAACCCAGCAAGTTGTCATTTCTCTAGTTTCCCACGTTCATAACGTTGTGCAACATACATATTTCTGCCCATGCAGAAGCTTGTCTGTGCCGGGTTTAGCAGTTCAGAAGGCAATGATTCAATAGACCCATTGCAAAAATCCCAAAAGCCTGCGCGCGCCACGCGACGAATAATGGGAGTCCTCGGTACGCCCCTCCTCCCGCTACCATGAGACCACGTGGCATACGCGAGCAGGTGCAGGTTACCACGGCAGCAACTTTTGAGCAGCCGAGAGCCGAGTCGGACGAGCGACGAGCCAACGGCTGCCCCTTTCTCATCCCTCTCCTTTGTACCGGCTCTGTCGTCTGCTGCCCCAACGCTTTGTCAAACCTGATCGACACCTGCCACGGTTGCGGTGCAAACTAAATGGATTCGGTGACACTTAATACGTGAAGGTAAGTTACGACGAATAATGTATTCAAACAAGTTCACCTGTCGCGATGCCTTTACACTGCCACAGATACGGTACGCTGCCAACGACATACGACGCGGCGGATGGGCGGGAGCGGATGGCTACAACGGCTGCTGGCGGTAGCTGTCGAGACGCGCGCGCAGTCGCGGAGGAGCAACAAGAAAATGCATGATCTGTACCGCGGGTTCCCGAAATTCTCTGCTGTCGTGGCGCTGTATGTTTTGCAAAGGGTCTATTGCTAGGCTTAGAAGAGTTTTGGGGGTATGCAAGTTTCATATGATGAACACAATAAAAGAACCTAATACTGCAGCGTCAGAATAAATGAGGGAAAACCTTCCTAAGCTTGCACCTAGTGTATTCAAATTAACGGGAAATAAGTGGAAAACTTATGCAGCGTACAAGTCAGCCTCTGTCGTGTCTACAGTAAAGTGCGCGAGCAAACAATTTTTGAAGTAGTTACGAGCGTATAAGTTACCGAAAACTAACAATCATCCGAGAATATCTCTGTTATCCATCATCACGTTCCAAGCACAGACAAACCAATGCCATTTCTTGTTTTTGCCTATATTTACTATCAGAACCATGTCCTAGCTACTAACTGAAATTAACTCGCGCAACAGAAAGCTCGATAAATATATATGTTACAAAGTTGCACTTAAAATTCATACAAAATATTTACATATCGACACCATGCATGACCTACATACACCTGCACGTTTCCTTTCTACGCTAGTCTTTTCTACCTCACCCACTTCCGTGAAACATGGCCTCGTAAATCTCGACAACCGACTTCATACTGTACAAACGGCACTACAAATCAGCTCTGCATTGCTTAGAATACTGGCTGACAGGGCAATCTAGGCACATAGTATCAAGGAGCCTCGGGCGCGACCTAATCATCGGAATAACAGATTCCCAGTCTAAATTGGCAACACTTGAGGGGCACTAGACCGCTTTCTGCGATAGGCCGTTTACGCTCATAAGTCAGTGGCTCCGAGCATCCTAAAATACCAACCATAACATTCATGCGTGGCTGATTTTTCTATTAAAATCCGTGTCAAAGGTTGAATACCACCAAACTTTGGGACAAAGAGAAGGGCTTTCCTTCGTCCAACAGAACCCTCAGGTGTCTGCGACAGTTCCGAGGCAATCAATCTTTGACCAACTTTTAATAGAAAAATTGGCTACGGACAAATGTAACCTTTTTTTTTCTCTCTTTAGGATGCTTGGAGCCCACTGGTCGATTTATGACCATAAACAGACCATCGCAGAAATTGGTTTAGTGCCCCCGTAAGAATAGACTGATGTCCCCAAGCACCGCCATAAGTGTAGTCCAGAGGATGGAGGCGGCGGGATAAGAGACTGCTCGTACAGTCTCGTGCTCGGCTTGTGCAGACCCGCAGTGGGGTTGTCCCTCGTGCAGAAAGACTACAATTCCCACAATGCATGCCAGCAGTGGAGGCCTAACAAGACAGGCTGGTCATATCGCTATTGCCAAGAAACTAACCCAGGATTTCAATGCTTTGATAAAAAATGAGTGATAACTCTCCCAAATCTAGAATAAAAACAGAAACAAAAAGCCCTTTTTGGTCCCTGCAGTTTACAAGGAGCCGTGGAACAAACAGGCAGCAAAGGCTGACGGCTGCTCCATTAGCATCTACACGGGTGTGGCTTTTAGAAGGACCCTCTGAAAGTTGTTAATTCGACTCATTCTACCGGGCAAGAATAAAAATTGTAAACAAAGACCAGTACAAAACCAAATTTCGGTTTTTTTGCCCCTGCACCCCTCCTCGCCACAGTCATTCTGCGTTCCCACCTTTCCTGAAAGACCAGAGTTCCCCTTGTGAAAGAGCGACGACGGAGCTATAGACAAAATGGCACGCTGCCGAACGAGTTGTCGCATCTCTGTACACATCACCTCGCACAGTACGGACGTTCACTATCCTAGTTTCTGCACCACGACCACTAACGAAGACCACTATCGCAAAAGTAAAAAGAGACGCCGTCTCGGGCCTGGGAGGGGTGTTGGCACCTCGTAAGAATGTGGCAGTAGCGAGTGATATGCCAAGCGTTCCTTTCTAAAACCTTTGACCGAAGGCAGTATACCACCCGTAAAGCCTATACCAGAAGGATTTCTACCTGCGAAGCTTTGACAGAAGGTGCTCTGCTCATTATATAATTTGATGAACCTCATTTCGCACGTGGTGCAGTGTCCAGCAACTAAGTCTTGGATGAACGCTGTAATGCAAGGTGCTCCAATTTCAAAAGCTAGCAATGGCAACGAAGAATCTCTGGCTAAAATAGGTGGAGGGGGGGGGGGGGAGGGGCACGGGGCCCACTGGACGTGTCGTGCGACGCATTTCTGGTCCCGAGACGAGAAGGGAAATGCCGTCGTAACATACAATCGTCCTTCGATACCTCCGTCAAAAATCCAACGAAAAATTACCTCGCCTTTCGATTATAGGGGGGCAAAAATATCTAGGCCTATGGTTCCCCCCCTCTATGGCAGGCAAAAAAGTCAAAACCCCTGAAATCCTCAATCGAGTTGCTTGAAAGAGCTAGCGAAAGGACCTAATTAACTAGCCACGACACATTTTAATTAGCGGTGAATACGGCCAAGTTCCCTTCTATATGTCAGCTCTCACGGTGAAACATTAACTGGGATGAAATCTAGTCGAGCACCTCCGCGGCTTTACCGTATTCAAAGTTAGACTGCCCGGAAGGGTCGAGGCTTTGCCCCACACGTGACGATCCCCAATGGAAATATTTCCGAATTGGGCGAGCATAGCTTACGCTCACTTTGGACAAACCACACTAAGCATTGTGGTATTCCTCCCACTGTTTTTGATACGGGAAAAATCTCACGACCTTGACAGTTTGTATGGGCCGATAATGATGGAGGATCACGATGCACAGGCCACCCTCTCATCCAACGAGCGCGACCAACAACGGCCACCAGTCGCACTTCGCTGGTAACGGTCACCTTCAACCATCCGGGCATTCATTCAAAGTACCGCTAGTATCGGTTGCCAGACGCCAGCACTAAATACGCTCGCAAATGCTAGTCGCTGGAACTTCGCGCAGCTCGGAATTTCACCGAAAAACGACGGGTCGACTCGTGAAGATTCCAAAGTTTTCAAGAGGGAACAGCGACTGGCCCCAGCTTCACGGCAGCATCGCTAGTGACACTCGACCCCACTCAAAGGCCAATTCACACTTTTGCATCCCAGTGCGCTCAGGTGCGTCGCGTTCGCTTGTAACTGCTTACCAGAGAACGCACTTGCACACTGGCGCCACCAGTTCTGAAACATTTTTGACAGGCATACATCTTTTTAAGGGTTCAAGGTCGGGCAAGTTGCGAATTCCCATTAGCCTCAACGGCGCAAAAAAATGAGCACAGCACAAAGAAAGGACAAATGAGAGCGTCGTTTGATAGGCGTCCCTCGAAACTGAAGTTTGACAAGTCCCGTTGCGAGCGACTAAGGGAGAATGCAACGTACTCGAGGGCACTCAAACGGAACTCTGCGAACCGGCCTCGAGAGGACGCCAACCGCCGCAAGATCTCTCGTCGTCCGAGGCAGGTTCCCGCCCACGGCAGAGTCGTCGACGGCGGCGGCCACTCGGCGCATCACCTGCGCCTGTCGCCGGAGGCGGGGAACGTCCTTCCGTAGCGCAGCGAGAGGTCCCTGGCAAACTCGCCCTTGAGCAGCGAGAGGCACTTGCGGTACTGGCTGCTTGACCGGAAGCGGGCAATGTCCAGCGACGGGGCGTGCGGCATGTGCACCATGAAGCCGTTGGGGAGCACCACAAACTCGTAGCCCTGAGCGTGCAGCTCCATGATGTGCGACACCTGGGAGAAAGAGGCCGCTGCAGGGCGCCGTTCTCCAGAGTCTTCAAACTGGGCTCTCGGGAACCGACGCCGAACGGAAGCTCGACGGGCAAAAGAAAAGCTCACCGGACAAAACCTCACCACACTTTTCATAGACCTGGACAATAGCTCGCCAGAAAAATAAGTCGCCAGACAAAAACTCCCAGATTTTCCCTAGAGTTGAACAAAAGCTCGACAGACTCAAATAATATGAAAACTCATAAAAAGGAGCTGAATCAAAGAAAATGCAAGACTTGCCCAAAATCAAAGTTGAGTACTTGCAGCAGAGAAAAATAAATCGAAAGAAGGTGCTGTCATTAGGCGGAGGAAAATTAGGCAGAGAAATTTTCGAGTCTCCGATACTCGTACCGTAAAAGCGCTATAGAGTCGATCTGGTCCTTCGGTGTCAGCTCTGCCATTGAATCTTCTGCGTGTCCCACAGCCACCTTAGAGTGTAATGCACGCGGAATAAAAACATTAAGAGGCTTACTCCAACAAACTCTGTAAAACTTTCATCTCCGTGTTTAGTTAGATACGGTTCAAATAACAATGTTCTGGATCGACTGTCACGCATGCCCACAGGGTAGCCCAGCGTGTTTTACACCTAACAAAACTTTTGTCCCAATAACAAAAAAAACAAAAAAACAAGGTGTTGTGTGTCCGCCGACAAGGAGAGACTTTGGTACGGAACGTGTCTTTATTCCGCAACCAACATGGGGAGCGACTTGCTCCGTAGCGTCCAGCTCAAGCGGCCCAATGAAAACAGACTACTCGCCGCCCGGGTGCCCCATCCCAGAGTTCCCCGCGGCGTTGTACCCAGGGTGACCCGACCCGAACCTCACTCCGCCAAACACCACATTCTTCCGCACTTGATTGAGAAAGTCCCCCTTAGGTCAGTCCCCCGGTGAATAACGATCAGGAGGGCAGCGCACTCTTGTTGGATAGCGCTGAGTCGGCGTTCGAGGCCTTGAAATACTGGTCGACCCCGGGTCCGTTGAGGCACTTGTAGGTGGGCTGGCAGGGGGAGGCTGCACTTGGCTTGCCGTACTTAAAGCTTGCGGTATGAAGCTAGCTCCATCTTCCTCCCGCGACGCCGGCGTTCCAACTTCCTGGTCCCCCTCCTGCCGAATGTGATCCTGATGGCGTCGCCAGATGACTGTGTCATGGTCCCGGTACACACGCAGCTTGTACGAGACAGGACCGCTCCTTGACAGTATAGTTGCCTTTAGCCACTTGTCTCCCCGATGGGGGTTCCACACACGTACCCGGTCCTTTATTTTAAACTCTCGGGTACGGCAGCTTCTTTGCAACATCTGGCGGAACTGATGCCTGGCCACTCTGTTTTCTACAGATGGCTTGAGAACATCCAGTCTAGTGCGAAGGCGTCTTCCCAAAAACAAAACTGCTGGCGCCTCCCCCGTTGTTGCATGTGGAATGTTTCGGTAGGTTTGCAAAAACTTTCCTAAGGTCTGCTGCAGTGGCTCCGAGGCAACTCCCTTGCACAGCGCCGATTTTAAGGTTTGCACAAATCTCTCCGCCAGGCCGTTGCTACTGGGGTGATACGGTGCTGTTAACACATGACGTGTTCCGATTCGTTTTAGAAAGTCCTTGAACTCGTTTGACGTAAACTGTGTACCGTTGTCAGAAACCAACGTCTCGGGCATTCCAAAACGCGCAAACACCTCCTGTAGCCTTTCAATAGTCTTTGCCGAGGTTGTCGCTTGCATAATAAACACCTCTGGCCATTTTGAGTGGGCATCCACAATTACCAAAAACATAGCTCCTCGAAATGGTCTAGCGTAGTCTACATGTACCCGCTGCCATGGTTTGGTGGGCCACGACCAAGGATGCAAAGGCGCTTGCGTAGGCAGATTACGCTGTTGCTGACACTGCTCACACGCCTTCACATGGTTTTCCACATCCTGGTCCACTGAGGGCCACCAAAAATAACACCTAGCTAGCTCCTTGGCTCGCACTACTCCTGGATGCCCTTCATGGATTTCGTCCAGCAGCACGCTCCGTAGCTTTTCCGGCACTACCACTCGCAGTCCTAACATAAGGCAGCCCTGTTGTGCCGACAGCTCCGTGTTACGTTGAAACCAAGGTTTCAGCGCTTGGTCTCCCACGTAAGGAGGCCACCCCTTCAAGACGTAGTCGTACACCCGCCTCAGCAACGGGTCTCGTGTGGTTTCTCTTGCGATGTCCCGACTGTCCACCGGCAAGGACAGTAATCTTAAGGAACAAAAAGACTCCACTTTTTCGTCACTCTCTTGCCGCCCTTCCACTGGAAGTCTGGAGAAACAGTCCGCTTCAACATTCTCAGTCGACCGCTTGAACACCAAGGAATACCTGTAGGCAGACAGGGTCACTGCCCACCTTTGCAGACGTGCAGCCGCCATTGCCAGGATCCCAATTTTTGGTCCAAAAATAGTCTGCAAGGGCTTATGGTCCGTCACAAGCTTAAACGTGCGTCCATAAAGGTAAAAGTGAAACTTCTTCACTCCAAACAGCAACGCCAGCGCTTCCTTTTCCAACTGGCTGTACCCTTTTTCTGCAGACGTCAGTGTCCGTGACGCGGATGCGACTGGCCGCGCAGTTCCATCTTCCAATATGTGAGACAACACAGCTCCGACACCGTAAGATGATGCGTCACACGCCAGTTGTAAGGGTGCTGTTGGGTCGTAGTGTACAAGCACTTCTGAGGACATCAGCAACTTTTTGACTCGTTGGAAGGCCTCTTGACATGTACGGTCCCAGTGCCACTTCACATCTTGATGCAGTAGCTTGTAGAGTGGAGCCACTATGGTTGCCAGTTGAGGAACAAACTTGCCGTAGTACCGTATTTACTCGCAGAATGAACGCACTTTTTTTTCCGAAAAATCGATGCAAAGTTGGGGGGTGCGTTCATTACGCGAAGTAAAAGTTTTGTGTCCGGCATAATGAACCATAATGAACAGACCTTTTATCCTGAAAATCGAAGTAACTTCATATCTCTTTGCAGGGCGCCCGACCCCGTAACCTAAGCTGTGCAAAAAAAAATATTCCTCTTTGTTTTCTTTTTTCTGGTTCCTTGGTTTTTTTTTTTTTTTTTTGTCCGCGTTTCGCAAGCTGTTTTGTTTGCTTAGGCGAGGGCTCTCCGCTTATCTTTCTTGTCTCCTTGCGCGCGGTGCGCGACGCACGACCCTAACCAAACTGCGCTGTGCAAAAAAGAAAAAAAAAAAAGCTCCTCTTTTGATTTTTTCTCAGTTCCCTGGTTTTTTTTTTGGTTCTTTTTTGCCGCCTTTCGCAACTGTTTTGTTTGCTTAGAGGGCTTCTCCGCTCCCCTTTCTTACCTCCTTGCGCGCGGCGCGCGACCCCCGTAACCAAACTGCGCTGTGCAAAAAAAAAAAAAAAAAAAAAAAAAAAAAGGTAGAAGAAGAAGGAAACGCTCCTCTGGTTTTGTTTTCTCTTTAGTTCCGTGTTTTTTTTTTTCTTTTTGCCGCCTTTCGCAAGCTGTGTCGTTCGCTTAGAGCGCTTCTCTTTCTTACCTCCTTGCGCGCGGCGGCGTGCGAACCCCAAGTCCAGACTGCGCTGTGCAAAAAAAAAGAAGCTCTTCTCCATGTTTTTTTTTTTGCTTCCGCTGGACATTTGCAAATTTTTTTAACGCCTTTTCCAAAGCGTTTTGTTCGCCCACGCTGCCCATGCATTGGCGACCTCGCTGCACCAGGAGAGAAAAGTGCGTTCATTTCGCGCGCGTTGGGGAGGGGGTTCAAAATTTTGACGTCCCAGTTGGGGGTGCGTTTATTACGCGAGTGAAAAAAAAAGTCAAAATTTTGATAGCCGACTTGGGGGGTGCGTTCATTACGCGAGTGCGTTCATTGTGCGAGTAAATACGGTAGTTCACGGCTCCCAGAAGCGATCTCAGCTGCGACACGTCTGCTGGTGCTGGTGCCTTTACGATAGCAGCCACCTTCTCCTCCGACGTCCTTATTCCTTCAGGACTTATCACATGTCCCAGGTACTGCAACTGATCCTGGAAGAAGGCACACTTTTCTCGCTTGATGCGAACGCCTCGTTCCGCAAAACGCTTGAACACCTCCTCCAGACTTCTTAGATGCTCCTCCTGCGATTTTCCGGTAATTAGCACGTCATCCAAATAACATGCCACCCCTGGGATTCCTTTGAGCATGTTATCCATTACCCTCTGGGAAATTGCCGGGGCCGACGCTATTCCAAAAGGTAGGCGATTCATGAGGTATAGGCCTTTGTGTGTCGTGATGGTCAGTAATCGTCGGGCCTCCTCACTCATGACAACCTGCTGATATGCTCTGTTGAGGTCGATTTTTGAAAAACTCTGACCTCCCGCCAACACTGCGAAGAGCTCATCTACTCTCGGCAAGGGATAACGCTCAACATCCAACATCGGATTCAATGTCATCTTGTAATCGCAGCACAATCGTATGGTGCCATCCTTCTTGGGAACAGGCACTAATGGTGTCGCAAACTCGCTACTGGTTGTCGGTGTGATGACAACAAGGGCTTCTAGGTTCGACAGTTCCTTTTCTACAGCTGGAACCAATGCAAAGGGTACACTCCTGGCCTTCAAAAACTTGTGATGACTTCCTTCTTTAAGGAACAGCCTCGCCTCCTCTCCAGAGATCTTCCCCAGTTCGTCCTTGATGATGGCCTGATACCTGTCTAGTAATACTTGCAACTTGTCCACTGGCATCGGACTTGCCCCTTGTGTGCTCCTCTGAAGATTGTTGAAGCCCGTCACTTGCTTCCAGTTCAACCGCAGCCTCTGTAGCCACTCCCGGCCAAGAAGTGGTGGCCCTGACTGATTCAGGACATACAATGGCAGGACTCTTGTTTCCTCTTGATGCAAAACTTTAACTTCCAGAACTCCACAGGGCTTGACAGTTTCCCCGGTGTACGTCTTCAACCGCAGCGCCGTCGGCTTCAAGTTCAATGCCGCAAACCTCTCACGGTACTGCTGCTTTGAG